TATCAAAACTCTTAATTTTTGATATTGTAACCAGATTGGTATTATAAGCAGAATCCAGATTTAAATTGAATAATGCTTTCCTTAAAAACTATATAAACAAAGGGTTGAAACTTAAGTCCTAAATTGATCATAGAAGTACACATTTGTATGTCGGTGCATCAATAATCAATCTAAGTTATTAAGAAATTGTTATAATTTATTTTTACTAGTTTTATTATTGTTTAGGAATATATATTTAGCTCCTTGATTGCTATAGCAGCACATTATCCCACCCTCATATCCCAGGCACTGTCTCCAGCTAAAAAAACTTGTTGAAGAAAATGAAAGTAAAAGCTGTCGTCAAGACAATTTATTGAGGTAGACGTAATGAATAGTATTTACATGTTTTAAAATTAGGAAATCATTAAAGAAATTAGAAGAGTCTGTCACTGTGCCAAGAAATTAACTTAAGATTTAACAAGACATATTATCCTTTTCATGCAACTATTGCTGTTTATTTTTAAGTAGCTAGAAATAGCAATTTTACTCACCTCAAAGTCATTATAGACCAGCAGTGAACCAGTGCCATAATTATTGCAGCAATTACATTATGTTTGATGTAGACTTATTTCTTGAAATCGAAGAAACTTAAATTTACAAAAATAAGTCCTTACAATCAGAAGTACACTTTATTAGCAGGAAAATTATTACTAATATTATTGGACTACAGATTGAGTGATTCAGTTACATTAGCTAGGCTAACAAGTAAAAAAGCAGTCAATAAATGGGTAAGACATTAATTTTAAAAATAATTAGTATTCACTATAAGAAAACTTTAAAAAAAATTATAACATTTTTAGAAATTTTGATTAGCTTAGTTTCCTTGTGTATTGTTTCACTTACCCAAGTTAATTTTCCCAACACTACTTTGGGTCAATGCAAGACTGACACATTGGGTATAGTCTAGCAGAGTAATTGAAAGTATTGTAGATCTAACTATTGTTTTGTTGCTTTATGATAACAAATAAGCTCAAAATAAATATACCACTGTTGTGTGTACAGCAAACAGGTCAAAGACAGATTCCAAACTGGATTATAGTCGTGGAGTAGATCTAAATGAAACATTCAAAAAATTAGCTCCAGAGTAATTCTTTTTGTCAAGGCCTTCTATCTCAAAATGCTGAATCTATTCTGGCTTATTTTGTTGGCATACATTTATTGTGCCGGTGCATGTATACCTCTATTATTATGTATACTTTATGATTAGTGCTAATACAGATAGATATAACAGTTCAGCCAGTGTCTATTAATACAACACTCAACTCTACTGTTGTCTTCTCTTGTGAAGCAGTTGCTGGTGAACTCACTGTTAGAGTGAATAATGTGTATGCTAGTTACCGATAGAGCTGTTCAGGACAAAGGATTTAGTGTGTCATCAACTAGGAAGTATGGGACTGTAAGAGCAAAGCTACAAGCAATAGCTTATGAACATAACAATAATGCTGAAGGGAAATGTAGACCTAGTACTTATGATCCTTTTAGGTGGAGTTCAGTGATAATAATACACAGTATGAATCAACATTACTTGCAAGTACACAACTAGCCATTTCTATCTCCCTTTTAGCCTAGGTCAATTGGCTAGTGTTGTTGATCTGGATTATAATGGATCCAGTGTATTACTAACATGGACAGCTCCTTATACGCTGGATAATGTACCTATCACTCCATACTCTATAGTAAATGTAGTCAAAGGATTAGAAAACTTTATGACCGTTGCTATTAATAATAATACTAATATTACTTTATCAGCTACTAATCCTGATCCTTGTACATTAAATAATGTATCAGTTTCTCCTATTAACGATGTTTGAATAGGTTCATTTAATAAGATAAGCTTTTATAATAAAAAAGATTAGTCTTCTTGTATCATTTTTTGAGTCTATTATGTGCACAATAGTACATTGTTTTGATTATTGTAACAGTTGGGCTAAAATATATATTAACCATTATTATTCTGTTCCCAAGAATAAATTTATACCCAACGTTAACATAAAATGGGTAATTCTACAAACTTAGATAGTCTGTACCAGTATAGCATGTCTCTCTGCACTAATTTAAACTAAATGGGAAGTTTAAAGCTTTTTGACATAAGTTTTTGGTATCCTTTGGCCTTGCCAGGGCCTCCAAATTCCCTCTAATTAATTCCATATCCTATATCTATACAGGTCCTTTTGTCACTCCTAATGTGTCAGCAATGCTAGTTTACCAAAGTAAGCTGTGGGTATTGGTTTCCCAATAATATTGAATAATTTTAATTTAAGCACATTTTTCATCAGTATTGTATTGAGTAATTATGGAGGAGCCTTTAACAACATTCCATTTTTCATATTTAGTTAGTAAATTTTTATACTTAACATGTAATTGTTGTTTTAGGTTTTACCAAAAATGACTAGAAGAGAGTTCGCCATTTTTATATTTTTCTGATGTAATCAGCTCATAGTGGTTCTACATTTGTATATTGAGATCTTAGGCAACAATGAGAGATTATTCTCAATAATATCTTGCTTGTAATTTGGTCAGAAATTTACAGTATACATGTAATTATTGTACTTCAAGTGGCTTTTGGGAATGTTGTTCTTCAATGATTCAATGATGCTCATGAAAATCACAATTATATTTGATTGCTGATGCCACAAAATTTGACATTGGCAATAGTAATGCATTTATAGTCAATAACTAACTGTCCAACATCAATCTCATTCAATGTCAATATTGGCGTATGTCTAAAAATTCATGTTATACAGTATTATCAACTGCAATTAATTGCTGACATTAACCAGAGGATCAGGTTGGATAAGAGCATCAGTCTTCACACTCCCATTGGGTCCCATTGAGGATTAGTGATGGCTGCTTGAGAGAGTGAGTGATGCTTCCTATTTCTGATTTAGTGATATGTGTTCATATGTCAGAAGTTAACTTAAGTGATTGCTATGATGCATTTAATGGACTGACAGTAAGCAGTGATTTATCTTCTTATTCAATACAAAGGGCCTGCAATTTTGTGTATAGCTCATAATTCATTACAAAAAAAGACATCATAAAAAGGAAAAGAAATAGAAATTGTGTACATGCATACACGAGACCATAATTAAAAGTCAGCTTTCTAAATAACATTATGACTTAAGAATAATAATGATTTATTGAAACTCACAACAAAGTTAGTTTTTTAAATTACTAAGCATTTAAAACAATTCAACAACTGATTCACGACTAGCACAGCGTCTAACATCAGTAGAACTTGGTACAATTTCTTGTCTTTGTTGATCAACAGTTTTATGTGGTTCATTTACATCTAAAAGAGGATCATCTTCTTTATCTTGTTTCTTGAATAACTTCTTAATTAAAGCATCATAACATTTCATATGTGATAACTGCAGGTAAAGATGATAAATGACAATCAAAATAAAACTAAAAATAAAAACAAATAAACAAGTATTGTACCAGATCAATACTTTACTGTCTTCATTAAGAGCTCCAGATAGACCAACCATGATGCATAAGTTAAACAAGAACCAAACTTCAAGTACATTGTTCATTCTCTTCTTGTAAACTCCACCAAAACAATAACCCAATGATAAGATAACAACTAACACTGTCAATAGCATTGACAATAGGAAGGAGTGTGACTGGATGAAACTGTCAACTAAGGTAACTGATAATAGTACTGGTATTCTAGCCACTAGCAGTAGACCAGGCCAGAACCGATACTCATCTTTCATTGGACCACTATAAGCATCAATAATAGCCGGGCTTAAAACGACTCCACAATTTATTGAAATTTTTTAAATTGGAAAAATACTTCTCATAAAACGGATTGATTAAAAGGAACAGTGTGTATGGTATGACAAAAAAACTGACACCAATAGGGCAAAATCGGCAAATCCAAATAGTCCAGCATGCTTCCCTTTAGCATATTCAACATTAGGATCCTCATACCATAAACTAACTGATCTTACTGAATCACTTGTACAGTGAAGAGTTACTTCGCGCTTGTGAAGTACAATAACAATAGTACGTACTAGATAGAACAGGAACAGCATGAGACCCCATCAGTCTTGGTCAGTGTACTTTTCTGCCATTCCTTTCTTAAATTTAGTAGAAATTACTAAACATGCAACTTTCAAAAAATCATCAGCCAAAAAATTTGA